GAGTCACACCATGTGCCTGAAAGCATTGTTCAAATGCCTCTTGAACTCTGTCAAGCTTGTGCTGAGACCACTTCCCTGGGGAGCCTGTTCCAGTGCCCAACCACTGAAGAACCTTTTTCCTGATATCCAGCCTAAACCTTCCCTGACTCAGCTTTGTGCTGTTACCTCAAGTCCTGTCACTGGTCATGAGAGTGAAGAGATGAAGATACATCCTTCAGCTTCCCCTCATGAGGATGCTGAAGACCAGAGTGAGGTCTCCTCTGCTCCAGGTGGAACAAACAAAGTGACTTCAGCCTCTCCTCACACAGTGTCCCCTCCAGACCCTGCACTGTGTTTGTGGCTCTCCTTTGGACACTCTCCAATAGTTTTACATCTCTCTTATATTGTGGCACCCAGAGCTGTCCCCAGTACTCGAGGTGAGGCTGCCCCAGAGCAGAGCAGAGCAGAGCAGAGCAGGACAATCCCCTCCCTTGGCTGGCTGATGCTGTGCCTGATGTCCCCAGGACACTGGTGGCCCTCCTGGCTGCCAGGGCACTGCTGACTCGTGTTCAGTTTGCCATTAACCAGGGCCCCCAGGTTCCTTTCCATGGCACTGCTTTCCAGCCTGTTCCCCAGTCCATACACACAAACATGGCTGCCCTACCCCAGGTGCAGAATCAGTTGATGAGGCTCCTACACAGAACTTCCACTGCAAACGTAATTCAATTGCTCATGGTTCACATGGTTTCAGACTTGTGGCATTGCTCAATATGACAGGCAAGCAATCTGAGTCTTTGTTCTGAACTTCATCTGACTTGATTTTGGAAGTGTGAATGGAACGCCTAATATTAACACTTAAAGCTTCTATTTTTAGAGCTGCTATTACTGCTTCTGCTACAGCCCAAACCTAACTTTCAACAATAGATCAATTATGACTAGAGAATGAGGTCTTAACAATACATTATGCAATAAAGACTCAAATCTTTAAAAAGCAGTTCTGCTGTATAACTAGTTAAACTTACTTACCCCAGATAACTTTGCCCCCTTGTGTCACAAGACCAAGCTCACTCACGTTCACCTCAATGACGGTACCCTTAGTAATTACTCCCAGTTGTGTATACAAAGGAGATGATGGATTCTTTTTCACACCAAGGATAGGTAAGCAAAACGTAGCTTTAAGTTCAGGGTGTGTCACATGTGCCTTCTTGAAACGTAAGCCCTGTTGCATAAAGAGTGTTACAATGAGTTAGTATTTGCTTTAAGCTCTCACAACTGATCTAGTTAAACACTTTTGAGAATTATGTCCTCATCTTTATATGATTAGGGAGACTGGAAAGAATGAAACAACCTAAAATACAGAATGCCATCTACCTATTGTAGACTGCCAGACATTTTGAAACCTGATTAATGACAAGATAAAGCTTTCCAAGTATGTTTTCAGGATGTCAGTTTTTAGATGTAGTCCAACAATAATAATTGTTACCTTGGACAATTTCTGTTCCATGAAGGAAGTACAAAAAATATGAAATACGCATACAGCACTTTTATCTAGTGATCTGTACTTCATAGAGGATACTTTACCATTATGTACCAAAAATTTTTCTGTGTCAAAAAAATTTTTCCAAGGCTGCTGTGTGAAACAATTAAACTAGTAGTAAAGTACAATTCAACAGGCAGCCTGCACAGTGACTGTGGATTCCTGTAAGGGAAAGGAATGGGTATTTATATTAAAAAAAACACTATCTCATTGAATCTGGCTTTTCTGCCTGCGTGCTGCCAGACTGGTAGAGCCCAGGCACTGCCCCTGCAGCTGTGTAAAGCTGGAAGCACAGCTTTTCCTTTGCACACAGTCACAACTGTGCTTCAAGCCTACTTAGGCCAAAAGGAGGGAATTCTGAAGTCCTAGAACAAAGCAGGCTTCTGCAGTGCAGAGAATCACAGCAGATTGGAAAAGACACCTCCATCTTTAAAAGCTATGCAAAGTACCTTAGATAAAGACATTTCCATGCTAGTTTGAGAGCTTGTAGCTTTAACTTACGGGACACATCTGAATTACAGGAATAAAAGCAGGTACTTCAACATAAACTGGGACTGTAGAGGCATCTCCCCACTCCCCATGCTATTTGAAGTTTATTCTTTTGCAAGGAAACTAACAGGAATGTTCTACATGAATGAAGATCAAGTGCATTATCTTACAGGAAAGCTTCTTTACCACAAAAAAGCAAAGCAGTAAATCAAAAGAATTATTCCTTAAATGTTCTTTAAGGCTCCAAAACATTACCATTGGTCGAATGAATCGCTCGTACTTAGGAGGCTTCCTAGTAAAGCCATCTCCAACAAAACAAACTTTCGTAACCATCCTCTTCCATGCCTTCTTCTTTCTCTTTCCTGTACGAATCACCTTTAAAACTTCTGTTTCTCCCTGTGCACGAACCTTTGGCACAGGAACCTCCCACTTCCCCTGGAAGGAGGGTAAAACAAAAAAAAAGGTCAGTATTCTTACATATCACATAGTTAAATGAAAGGGGGGAAAAAACCAAAGCATAAAATCAAATTTCTGTAAAGTACAGGTAACTCATAGCCACTTACTTTAATTAGCACGTAAAAGTTCCAAAAGTCAAGATACTGCATATATTCACATTGTCCTAAACTGTTCAGTTACTCAAGATTTCATGTTTTAATTAGTCTTTGCTTGAAAGCTGATAGGTAACCTGAGCATCAGCAGTACAAAGTGGTCATTGTTACACGAAATTTTAGGTATCTGAACTTTGATACATTTACTTACAGCTTTTTCTTTTCTTTTTTGTTTGATCATGTTAGAGAGGACCTTGGCCCGGGACTGGCCCTCTCTGTCCAGCAGGTATGCTGGTACAGCTCCTTTGGGTGTTTTTTCATCATTCTTCTGCTTTGTATTTCTCTTTTCATGCATTTTAATGCTGCAAAGAAAGAAAACCAATATTAACAGCACAAGAAAAAAGGACTTGTTTTTAGATATACCATTTTAACTTAGTCTGTGCCTCCTCAAATTTTTCTTTAAGAGGTATTTGTGAAGTATTATGTATTTATATTTAAGGAATAACACTAAATAATTCTCAAGGTAAACTACTCACTTCACTTAATCTTGTCACTTTCTACCAGGACAGGAAGACATGCACCTCTTTAAGGAATTTCTGAGTGACTGAAAGTAAAGCCAATCACTTTGAGAGATAGTAGCCTTCCTCCGTGCTGACCAAAAAAACCATTCTACTCCTCTTCTGAGATGTGATAGCAATGCTTATATATGTGAGGAATGTGTGTTTTTAAAAGGGGACAAGTTTCGTTAATTTTGAGGTCATTTACTGGGTAGAAGAAATTACACACAAACTAATAATGGGTTAATAAACCCATTATCTTTAAAAGTAGCAGAGGAAAACAGCTATCTACACTTTGAAAGCAGCAAAAACAACACGGTGGACAGGTATGAAGTTCAGTAGCAATTAGTGAGACTGTTAAAGATGCCTAGGTAGCAGGATAATGCTTGAGCTATGCAAAAAGCTGGAGCTATGCAGAAAAAAAATAGTTACTTTGTAACAGGGTATGTGAATGAAGCACCTTTTAGAAATCAGAAAGTTCAGCAGAACAAGCTAACTGCAAAGGCTAACCACTGGCTATTTAAACAGACAATCTTATAGAGCATGTGCAGGAAGCAGGGGTAGAAAGTTCAAGCCCGAGGAAGACTTAGGAGCCTTCATCAAAAACAACCACACAGAGGCTGACGACCACCTCGTGGAGAAACCATGCGTGTGCTACAAGGGCTTACATAATTACGTAATTAGAAAATATGTTGCAAATGAAGGTTAGGAAAGTATAATGCACACATTAAGTAAGAAAAATATAAAAGCTTGTACTGTGCAAAGAATAGACAGGTGAATTTGTAGTGGAGTTATCCCCCTCATTCCTGGCATTGAATAAACAAGTATGTGCTCTGTAGGCCTTATATTATGGAGTACTGTTTTCTTGTCTAGTTTTCAGGCATCATTAACAGCTTTGATTTCAACTTCTGGATAAAATTTACAGAGAAATGCTTTTATTTGTCTATGCTTGACACTGTTGTTTATCCTTGAAAACAGGCCTCACCTTCTGCTTAAATACTGCGTATGCTACGGTACATTTTCTATTAACCATTAAAAAATGTGAGCTGCCTCTTGCTACACTAACACAGCAATTGATATAAAAGCTCCACGAAAATGCTTTCACTTTTTTTGTTATGATTACACTAGTCACGGTTGCTACTTATCAGCACTTCCCTCAGGGAGTACTTTGAGCAGCGGAATTGTTAACATTAATTTAAAATAGAGGGCCTCTGAAATGTGAAAGCCCCCTTCCTTCTGCAGCCTGATCGCTATTTAAAATCGTAACATGTGACCCTAACAATAGCGAGCTCTTTGTAACAATATCAACTCGTCTCATCCTTCAGGAGTCAGGAAGACTCTTCAGACGCTGTCAGAGAGGAAGCGGACACTCACGTCTTTTTCATCTGTATCTTCTCGGCATGCCGCTGCTTATGGTAGAGCTTCGCCTTCAGCCCAATCATCTTCTTGGCCTTGCGGGACCGCTCGTGCGCCTCCCGGCCTTCCTTCTTCCTCCGCTTTTCGTGGTAGTCCAGCCGGTAGCCATAGCGCTTGCGGTGGAGCTCGATGTGCTCGTTCTGCGGCTGTGGGCACAAAGGCAGCGCGGTCAGCGGGCACGGCTGCAAGCGGGGCGCGGACNCCGCCGTTTGCATCCCGCCGCCCCGGCCCCGCACCCCGTGTCCCCGGCTCCCACCATGGCGGCAGTCCCGCGGCCTCCTCCGCGGCGGAAAGGGCGGGCCTCTTGCGAAAGGGCTCCGGCTGGAAACTGTCCCCCGCGCCGCTTTGGTTGCTCCCGGCGGAGAGGCGGCGGTCCGCGCCCCTCGAGGACTTTGCGCTGGGCTTGACGAGGCCAGGGAGAGGGGGAGAAATGGAGCGGGAGAGGCCGAAGAGTCGCTTTTTGCTGCCTGGTCTGTCAGGCTGTGACGGAAGAGCGGAACGCGGAACGGAGGTGAGGTAGCCGGGGAAGGGAGAAGCAGGTTGCCTTCCGGCGGCCGTGCTGACAGGGCAGGGACCGCGCGGTCCCGGGCTGGGCCTGCTGGGAGGTCCAGGGGGCTGAAGGTGATCCGGAACTGGCTGAGAAACGCCGCAAAGGTTCGTAACGCGGCGAACAAGGCGGTGTCACTTTGCGGAGAGCTACCGAGGATCGGCCCTTGGCGGTACTCGTCTGAGCTCGGCTTGAGGACTCGTCACGGGCGGCGTGAAAACACTGCGCCCTTCGCGCTGCCCCGGTCAGCAAAGCGCGCCGGCACCATCCGACATGAGGGAGCGGAGGTGAGCGTGTGCCCTGAGCCGCGTACTCTTCACTGTGAAACTACTACGAAGCATAAAGTCAAGGCAGCTGGACAGTGACGTCTCCTCAGATAATCAGCATCCGTGTAGGGATGCTTTTGACGCTGCTGCACTTGGGCTTTTTGTTGCAGTGGTTTTTGGCTATGCTTGAAAGGTCATAGTACTTAATATTTTCAATTGTTTCTGATCTAAACAGGTACTTTGCCCTTAAATCCTTCGTTCTTCAAGACTAGAAAAGCTATTTGCACTTTGCACACCAGTAATCGATGCTCTGGAGCTTACCTGAGAGTGAGTGTTAACTCTTATTTTCATTATTCTACTGTAATGTTTTCTTGAGAAATATATTATTTTCATGAGAAATATATTTACTGTTTGTGGACATGCATTTATGCTGCATTGTTAAGGCTTAATAACACTATTATTACAGATCTGGCACTGATTTAAGTTGCAAAACAATAGCCTGAAAAATGTTAACCTGATTTCCCATCAAAAATAATGAAGTTTTGTGATGGAGTTATGTCAAAAGAACATAATTGGCCTGTTCCCTGTCATAAACATTTTGTACAATGTTTACTTACCTTGCCAGGGAGCAGCTTTAGAGACGGGAGCCAGAATGTTGAAAATTATGGGGAGATTTTCAGCGAGTGCATTGAAGCCATCAAGTTTGTGCAATAAGGTAAACCTTCTCCCAGTTTTGATACTTCATCTATGAGCAAGGGAAACACTTGGGTGATTCTGAGCAAATTTCTTTTTGTATTTGTTTCTGTTTGAGTTTTTTTTTGTCTTTAACAGTTGGCCTGTGGACAATGCATATTTTCATGTTGGAATGGGACTTCAGAATTGGGAATTGAATTTGTAATTTTTGTGTATTTTTTTGACTGCTTAACTCTTGTCATTGCTAAGTTATTTACACAAATAATTAGATTTATTTTAAAAATTTTGGCTATTAAAAATATTTTGATACTGCCATAAATTTTTACTGAATATCCCAGATATTATGGGGATCAAATTTGGCTCAAACCTCAGTGTGGGCATCATCTTTAGGCATCTGCTCTTAAATAGTTAATGTTTCGATCTTATATAATACCTGACAATAATACTTGTTCTTGTAGATTTGTTTTTTCTGTTTATTTTTCTACAACGCCTAAAAATGTTGTTACAAAGTAGCTAGTTGTAACAATAAACATTCTATATGATTCTTTTTTTCTTTCAAGTTCATGCATTTCAGAAATATGAAAATGAGAATCATGAGTGTGACACAGCTAAACTGCAGTCTGAGAAACTACAGTTCTCCACCAGGTATAAGTTTATGTTGTTTTCTTTATAGTAAGGATTAATTTTTAAAGTGAATAAGAATAAAAAATACTTCCTATTTCTGTATACTTTCTGTCTTATTGTATTCTTTTGGTTATTCTTTATAGAATTTAGTACATGAATAGACCACTTAAACGGCTCAAGGACTGAAGAGTTTTGTGTTGCTACTCTTTGCTGAGTAGATTCACAATATGTAGCCTTTAGAAAACAATAATAAGCAAAGGTACATGTTATAGGAAGTCAGGTCAGTTGTGAAGTGTGCTGGTACCCTTCATTAAGGGTTCCTGTAAGATGCTACTCGAATGTGTCTGTGATAAGACAGATGATCTGCAGGTGGTGAAGGAATGTTAGCTTAAATATTGTTGAATTCTGTGTGGCCTATCAAAGATGAACGAAAGTACTGTGAGTATTCCTGAAACACAACTTCAATAGCTTGAATAACTGAATTTGGGTTAGTTTCATGAAAAATTACATTGACAACCTATTTTACAACTAAACTGTGTGAGAAGGAATCTATTTTGCAAGAAAATAGCGATTAAAATCTTCCTAGTTCCATATTTTCTCAACACAGGTCAGCTTGCCTTTTATCCCTGAGAGTTATGCTGTATAGCTTTAAGGCTTAAAGGAGAAATAACTTTTCAAGTTTATCATCTATCACCAGTTCAGATGAATGTCAGCATTACAGTTGTCTTGAACTGAAGCATGCTTCTGCAGAGTAAGATGATGATCCTGTCCTGTGTTGGATTTTTCCTGTTGTTTTTAAATTACAGCTGTTTTTTCAAGCATTTCTCATTTTTCTTGATGTGGGGAGAGGTTTGTTTAAAATTAATTATGTATCTTTAAAAATTTGAGGTGGTAGAGATTACAGATTGTTGTGATTTGTAGCTCTGAATCTTTTTTTTCGAATAAGGATTTTAGAAGTTTTCTTAAATATACTTCTACATTTGCTTCTGTCTGAAAAGTTATTTTATTTTGTTTGTTTCCAGGAGATGTTAAGTCTCTGCATTCTGTCATTAATCCTCATATATCCAGGTACATCAAGTTAGTTTATTGCTGGGATGCAACTTCAGTCAGAGAAGTTGATGAGATAAAGAACTGTAGGTTGTTGCCATGCCTGACTCATGTGCATGTTTAATATAAAATTAGTACTTGCTTACTTCTACCCTTGAGACATTTCAATTCAGAGTGCTTGCTAGTGGCACAGAGGTCCTGTGTTGTCTCTGGTTTTCACCATCATAACCAAAACCAGGCTGTTAGGGAAGCTCCAAATCCACAGTGTTGCTGGGAGCTGAAGAAGAGGGAAGGATGTCTTGGCAACTGGAACACTGTGGTGGGCAAGTCTGTGTGCTTTGTCCTTATGGAAGCACTCTGCCATGCTACTTAGACAAGGGCAAGGCAATTAGGAGCTAAGCTGCCAAAGTTCCCTTGGAAGGCTGCTGAGGGTAGGGTGTACCTGAGGGTGAGGTCAAGCCAGCATTAATGGTGAACATGGGGGCTGATCACAAGCCTGTGCTGCGCAGAGCAAGCGAAGCAGTTCTGGAAGATACTGGTGAGGTACTTCAGGAAGAAAAAGTAGGCTGAACCAGATCAAGGACAACTTCATGGGAACTTGGATGTGCTGTATTTGGGGTATAAAGGTTTATATGCAGTAGGTTGTTTAGGACGCCAGGTGTCAGGGATTGTGATGGACATGAGTGGGGAGGGGCTGTTTCTGTTTGTCTGGAGGATGGATGAGCCTGAGCCCAAAGAAGGGGCTTTCCATGAAGTGGAGGCTGGAAACCTGTTGCAACACTGTTCCTTACTACTGATTTGAAGAAAATCCACCATATCAATACTGACATTCTTCAGTGTTAGAATGTTTACCACATCAGATATGCAGCAGAGGAGCAATGCTATTAATCTGGTGTGCTATTCTGGGGGAATATTAGGTATTTATGCAAATAAGAATTATCACAGGATTAAAGAATTACTGCACTAACCACAATGTTTTCACTTTATGCAGAATCCGAAACATTGGCATTATGGCCCACATTGATGCAGGCAAAACTACGACAACAGAGAGAATGCTATATTATTCTGGATATATAAGAACACTTGGAGGTTAGAAATGCTTTCTGTATTTCAATAGGTTTAAGAAATTGAATAGTGTACAATTACATGCAGTACAGTTGCTGGTGGAATACCTCATGTAGGAGGCATTTGTTCCAAAGTTATGCTGCAGTTTAAATGAATTTTAAGGCATGTTCCTTTTTTTATGTACTAAGGCAATTTTGCTTTCAGTTACTATAGGTTGATATTTTTCTTTTACTTTCAACACATTATGTTTCATTTAACATTTAATTAGAGCATCTCCTTATTTTTTTGCTTGCTTATTGGCCATTCTGGTAAAGTTTCTTGAGTTCTCTTTTGATATGTGAAGAAACCAGAGTAAGAAAATGTGTCCATTTCTTTTGAAAGCCATGGCACAGGAAGAATTCCTTGCTACACCAAGTTTAATAGAATTCTTCTAGTTTGAAATGGTCACAGCACCCTCTGTTTGTATTTCTTTTTGACCTTTTAAATTTTATACCCTGTTCTCTACTGTATATGACTGATAGAAGAAGTTAGGCTTGTGAATTGTGAATTACCTAATGCTGCTTCTTGTTTGCAGATGTTGATGATGGAGACACGGTGACAGATTTTATGGCACAAGAGCGAGAACGTGGTATTACCATTCAGTCTGCTGCTGTTACATTTGACTGGAAGGACTACAGAATCAATCTGATTGACACCCCAGGTACTGCACTTTAGTGGTACTCATATTGTTAAGGGAGAGAGGATAAGGTGAAATGTTACAGAGTGTCTTTGTTTTAAATATGGTGCAAAATTTAATTGGTTTAATTGCATCAGTAAAAATGCTGATACTAAGCTTTGTTCAGCTTTGGATAATTATTGTTTGCTGATTCCAAATCTAGCATATATGAAGTGAACTCAGATGTTTCCACATTAAATTGTTCTCTGTTCTAGGATTGCATTATAATAATGATGTTTATTTCAAAGACTGATAGGTGTATTTCCCTGCAAGTAAAGAAAAAGTTGTTTTGACATTAATTGAAAGAAAAAAGTAATGTTTAAATGTGTGACCTGTTGATACTGCCTGTTTAAATTACGATGGTATAAAAGGATGATTGTTTTTTAGGCCATGTGGACTTTACTGTGGAAGTTGAGCGTTGTTTGAGAGTACTGGATGGAGCAGTAGCAGTGTTTGATGCTTCAGCTGGTGTTGAGGTAAAATCAACTGTTAGATTTCTGGGGGGGGGTGGTGGTGTGTACAGTCTGTCACAGGAAAGGGGAGAGATTTTCTCAAACCCTTTGTATTTGATTAGTCTGTCAGTTCCCCAGGAAAGGTGGGACCCTTGTGCCCAATTCAGTCTGTGAGTATCCTCTTATGGAGACCCGGGGATCCTTCACTGAGCAGTCCATGGATCTGAGGGTTCAACTACCTTGTTTGGGGTCATATGCAAACAGAAAGATACCCTCCTGCGGTGGGTGATCTTAATTGGTCTGTTGGTGCCTCTGGAAAGATCCAGGGACAGATCTGCCAGCAGCAGAAGAGAGACCCTTGGCCTCCACAGTGCAGTATGTTACCTGCTGCCAGCAACTGTTAGCACCCTGACAGGACTCAGGCTTAACAGTTTATATAATAACACTCCTCGTTAATGTAATTGAAAACTCTGACAGGTTAAGGTTTGAAGACTTCTGGTGACAGCATCTGGCTGCAAAAATGTCTTCAAAGCAGTATGCTAACCAGCTCTAATACCTAACTGGTGCTGGCTTGATGTAGTCATTCAGCATGGATAGAGGACAGTTCTTACCCAATAGATGTGACTGTGGGAGTGAAGAAAAGCTCAGCCTGTTGTCTGATCCCAGAAGTTCCCAGAAATCTCTAACTTCTCCCCATTTTTAATTTACTTTTATACTGTTTTTGTGTTTAGGTGGAGCTTGAGTGACTGGAGTCATGCATCATGTTCAGTGGGGGGTGGTCGTACCTTGTAGGTGGGTAATATCAGTATTATATCTGAGGTCACCTTTAAGATGGAGGTATATGTCTATGATCTTGCCATGGTTCCTGGTTCAGCAGCTAGATATCTTATTTTTTCTCCCTCGGTTGACAGCTGCTACGTGGCTTATCAGCTGCAAGGTGCCACCTTGAGTTCTCTCTTTTGCAAGGATTTCAACAGAGCCTGGACACAATGTCTCCACTCTGCTCCAGCCTCCATTTAGTCCCCCTCAGCATGTATTGTGTGTGGGAAATGGAGCATGCTGACCACAGCCTATCTGGGAAGCAGCAACTGCATTTCACCCTATAATTTCCGCAGTTACAAATTCTATTAGAGTGTTGTCTTGGTTCAGGGCAAATTTGGGAGAGAACCTCCAAATGGGAGTCCCCCCAGAAAAGCAAATTCAAGTGGCCCCTCCCCCAGCCTTTTTGGGAAAAAAGATTTCCCCAGAGAAAAGTGGAAAAAACCAGTTTATTTAACAGAAATTGAATAGTATTAAACAATAAAACCTCCTGCTGTTCGATGAGATGGCAAATCAAGGAAGAAAAGTCCTTTTCATGTGGTGTAGCTCAGCTCACTCAGTCTCTTATCAGTCCCTCCTGTGCTGGAAAGTGCCGAGGCCCAGGCCCCGGTGGGCCACAGCTGTGAGCTCCTGGGGTTTGGCTGGGTGTTCAGTCCAGAGCAGGTTTGAACAGATCCAAGGAAAAAAGAAAAAAAGTTCAGGGAACTCCTCTGCCTCAGCTAGCTAAAAACTAGCTAGCAGCAAAGGAGAGCTCTGTCCTGCTGTCTGTCTGTGCTGCAGACACCACAGTCCAGGAGCAGCATGTAGGGGAGTGATGCTTTTCCTCAACACAAACTGTGGCTTCTTCTCCCCCCTTCACTCTCAGAGCCAGTCTTAAAGGTGCAGAACTTAATATGTAACATAAACCAGGTGTCTGGGGATACAAGCATCATAAAGTCACCCCAGGAAAAGGGTAAATGTACCTTCCCAGTTTTCTCTGATTTTACTTCCAGTCACTCTCAGTGATTTTCCCACCATGTCTAATGACTTAAATTAGGCTGAAATAATGTATAGAGATATTTCTCTGTATTATCTTTCTCAATGCTTTTATCAAAATTCAGCTTCAGGAAGCTGAGCATGTAATTTTAAATCCTATGGTGCACAGAAATTTCCATTGTAGTAAGCAGCAAATAAGTGTGATTACCATTAGAAGTTTGGAATGTTTCTGTTGTTTTGTTGCTATGTTTTACAAATGTTGATTGAGGTGAATACTTCTGCTTAGCTCCACAAATTGAATGAAATTAATACCTGTCAATTTCTCATTTTCAGGTTTTATGTAGAAAATAGGTAATTTTCAGGCAGGTTTTCTCCATCCCCAATGGTTCTTTTAACAGAGTGCAGAAAAGGTGGAGGCAGGCTAGGACTGGACTTCTTATAGTTTGAGATGTTTCAGTAGTTCAGTCCTGTAGAAAAGCTGCCACTATGCCTTCATGCCCTTAGTGCAGGAAAGGTAATGACAACAGATGAGAGACAAGACAAAGCTGTTTGCAGACTTAATCTGTGATGTTAGATATGGGATTGTCACAATACACAGCACAGTTGCCTTCTCTACTCTGAGCTAGGACCTTCAGCGGTGTTGGGGAGCATATAGTTCAGCTGTTGACACTGTTTCCATTTTGTCTTTGGCTTTAGGCACAAACTCTGACAGTGTGGAGGCAAGCGGACAAATACCAGATACCACGGATTTGCTTTTTAAACAAGATGGACAAAAACAGGGCAAGGTATTTAGGCAGTTATTTTAATAATTGCTAAAAAGCTTGTAAGAGAATGCCTAGCATTTTCCAGTTAAGCATAGAGCAACCCAGTTAATGTCAATACTTACTAGATGCTCCTTTGGTTATGCAAATGTATGTTTTTGTGCAATTATAGGAGTAATTTTTGCAGTAAACAGGGAATGGTGAGCCTGTTTTACTGATATCATAAGGTTTTGTGTAACTCAGTATCTGTTCTTCTTCTGTAGTTTTACATATGCTGTTGAGAGCATAAAACAAAAGTTGAAGACAAAGCCTTTACTATTACAGGTAAGCTTAGAAATTAAATGCTTGTTTCCTTTCTTTTGAATGGAACTCCTTTGTTAATTTTTTTCAGCTGTCTAAAGTCTCCATTCTATTTGCAGTTGCCCATTGGGGAAGCCAAGACCTTCAGAGGACTGGTTGATGTTGTGACTAAGGAGCAAATAACGTGGAAACCTACTTCTGATTTGGATGATGGAAAAAATTTTGAGCGAAAGCTGCTGCTGGAGACTGACGATCCAAACCTGTTTCAAGAAGTCCAGGATGCAAGAAATACCTTAATAGAACAAGTAAAGTTCTAAAGTAAATACATAATACATTTAAAACCATTACCCAGAGCAGTAGGAAAAATAGACTGAAAGGGACCTCTGGAGGTATCTGGTTAAGTGATCTGCTTAAAGCAGGGCTGACTTCAGCATTAGGTGGACTTGTTTGGGCTTGCTGAGTTTTCAAATCAAAGGATGATGATTCTCTGTAGGCAGCCTGTCCCAGTGCTTGATCTTCATTTCTTAATGTCCAATGAGGTTTTATTGTGTCACAAGCTGGGGCAGGCATGCTGGTGCTTTCGTTATGTACCTCTGAGGAGAATCTGATTCTGTTTTCAGTGGCCTGAAGTAGGGCCACTATTTCAAATAGTAAGAGACAGTATTTGCATCCTGCTTCAGCCTCTCCAAGACAGACAAACCCATCTCTCTGGGCCTCCAGCTGCGCTCCAGCCCTGTTAGTTGTTTTCCAGTGGAGTTCCTACAATATGTCAGTCTCTTTTGTGCTGGGGAAGCTAAAAGCAGACAATGTTTTTACTGTCTTAGATGCCAAAGTATAGTTGGTACATTCACAAGAAGCGTGATAGATGTGACTTGAAACCTGCAGGGTATCCATCCATGGTCCTCTAAGTGACAGCTAGAAGCTGGATGGAATGTTACAGCCTGGTCAAAATGGCACTAAATGCTGTGTTAGAAGCAGCTCAATCTAATCATAAATCAATCCTTTTTGCTGGAAGGGCTGCCTTCCACACAACTTTGAATAACATTGTGGAAGTGCATAAACAGATGATGCTAGCTTTCCATTTCCTTTGAAATTGGAGAGATCTGTTTTATATTGCACTGAGTTCAGTAGAACATACACACAATCTGGTTTTCAAATTTAGTAGGTTTTAAATAGCAATGTTAATACCCAGCCTTTTATCTTAGGAAAATATATTGTCAGATAGAAAGGTTTGTAAGAACAGCGTTAATTTTTTTCCCTTTGTTTTCTGGGTCCTTCCTGAAGGAGGAAGGGGTGGACCAGTAGTGTGATTATTGAGATAACTTTGTGTTTGTAAAATATTTTTCAAAATGCTTTCTATGCTGTTAATATTCCTTATCAGAAACCCTGTAAAATGTAGCATTTTGAATACTGGCCCTTTTGCACACTTCACTTTCACTTAATTAAACGAACTATTTCCTTTATCTCTCACATTTTAACTATTAACTTGATAAGACTTCTAGTTGGTTATCAAGGGTTTATTTCAGAATTTGGCCAATTGATGTTGTAGCCAATAGAGGGGACAGAGTGCTTTCCTGTGCTTGGGTGTCCTGAGTCTGTGACAGTGCAGGGATGTATGTGAGATGTTTAAGGAGTTAAGTTACATGTCAAGCTAACTGGGATAATTTGAAAACAGAGACATGCTCTGGGACCTACAAACCCTTGACATGAAGAAGGCCAAAATGCCCTGATGCTTGTCTGTTTTTTCCTGCTCAGTATCTGTTGGCTTGCTGCTTACTTCAAACTTCCCCATGTTTTCAGGACCAAAGTACGTCAGTTAAACCCTTCATGGCTTTCACTGTGTGGCTGGAGGTTTTTTCCATTTTAGGGAGAAAGCATCCTCTCTCTCAATGATGTTTTGCTTGACAGCAACTTTATAAGTGGGTATTTTTCCCCCCATCCTTTCTTGAAGCCTTCATTTCCATAATTTTAAATTATTTGAGTTTATAATTACTGATGTCTTTAAAGGCTTTGTTCCTGCTGTATTAAGCTATATATCCTAAGTAAGTAAAATATGTAGTTTTCTGTGAAACTGCTGTATGCAAAATAATAAAAGAACTTTTTCCTTTGACACATGCAAATTATGATTTTGCAGATTTTTCAGTAAAAGAGATCACATTATCATATGTAGTAAATTAACAGTAGTATGGATTTAGAACAGAATATGCTTGGAGCTAGTAGGAATGTTATAAAGATGGGCTATGATTCTTAGGCATGTTAGGCATAATTTTAAAAGTTATTCAGGAAAGTGGGGTTTTATTTTTTTTGAAAGTTACACTGCTATAAAAGAGTTCAGGGAAAGGTGAATGGAATTTCAGATAGACTTATTGTAGTTTGTGACAGAGCTGCTGATTCTCATAAACAAAAATAGCATGTCAGCTACTTTGAAATGGTTGGAACTTTAGACACTGCATGTTGAAAGCCGTGAGTTACAACATATTGATTCAAAAGGACTGTTATAACAAGAACAGCAGATTTGTGTGAAACGTTTAGAAATCTTAAAACCAGTGTCTTCTAGTTAAGGATCTAAATGTTTGGGTTTATGGTTTGGGCCTTGTTAAAAAGCAGTGAAAGGAGTTTGGATGAGTGATGTTATATTTAGAAACATACTTTTTAGCTTTTTGGGGATTAGTTAGCAGTATCTCATAGTTGGGGTGCAACTTAAGGCTAAACTGTAGATCACACACTGATCTGTGTTAACAGAAAGTAATTCTTTTTTTGCAGTTGCAGTCTGCTATCCGCAGAATCACGCTAGCTCAGAAGGCTGTCCCTGTCCTCTGTGGCAGTGCACTGAAGAACAAAGGGGTGCAGCCATTACTGGATGCTATTACCCTGTACTTGCCTGCACCTAATGAGCGTTCACATGAGTTCCTGTAAGTACAGATAGAAAAGGAGATTCAGAAGAAAAGAAGGAAAAATAAGTAGGAAAACACAAAAGGAGAAAAGAAGTATATTAACAAAGCACTCATATTATTTAGAAGTATTTACTCTCTTTAGGTATTAAATAATAGCAGAGATGTGTGGACGGAAAAATACACTTGAGTACTGTACCTGCTTTGGTCAGTTCTTCCTGAATAGGATGTATTTATTTCCAGTTGTCAAACTTGCACTTTGGAATTCTTAAGTCTTTTTTTAATCTGAGGACATTTTCATTTTACACAAATGTGATCTAGGAATCCTGTTTAGTACTGTCTGAATCATGTAACATCTTACATGTCTTACTGGAGCTGGAACTACTTAGATTATTATTTTTCAGTACAAATTACAGTTTCTGAAAATCTACCTCCATTAGCATTGCAGTAAGAAACATCATCTTGTAAATGAGTGAAAATTTAGGTAAATGTGAGTATGAGTGGATTAATACTACAGGTATGCATTTTGTTGTGCTTTTTATTTTGCAGACAGTGGTACAAGGATGACCTGTGTGCCCTGGCATTCAAAGTTCTTCATGATAAATGTCGTGGACCACTAGTTTTTGTTCGTGTTTACTCAGGCTCATTGAAACCTCAGTCAGCTGTATATAATATTAACAAAAGTTGCACGTGAGTAAGCTAGAGGTGTGGTTCAATGTAGCATTGGAATGCCTGTTAAAGTCCTGAGTAACAAAGAATTTAATTTTCAGAGAGAGAATGAGCCGGCTGCTCCTGCCTTTTGCTGATCAGCAAATTGAAATACCGTCACTAATGCCTGGCAACATTGCCTTGACTGTTGGGTTAAAACAGGTAATGAAAAATACTTATACTGTAAAGGAGCTTGTTTCATGGGTTTGCTTTCTGCTTCTATGATACTGTATCTCAGATCTGTTCTTCATTATGGTGATATATATAAACTTGCTTTATTTGAAGTACATTTAGATATACTTCCTCCAAAATTAAATACCACAGTGTGCAAATACCAGTAATTGACTCGGAAACTGCAGTGCTGATTGGAAAGGACTGAAAGCTGAAGTTGTATGTTAGGGTTTGAGCTTGTATTAATACTGTAACTTTTAAAATACAGTGTAATGTCACAGAGACCTCCTGTGGGGAAGGGGAATGATGTTCCAAATCAGTTACCCAAAAACAAGTTTCAAGTTCAAATAAATGTGTTTCATGCTTCTTCTTTTAGTTTAATAATTTGTTACTGACTGAATAGGCTGCATGAATCTCATTTGCAGAGATTTTCTAAAATGTGTCCAGCTTTGGCATACATTTTGAGTTTGGGGATTTTGGTTGGTTTTTTTTTCACATCAGTTCCTGTGTTGATCTGTAGAGTGCCACTGGAGATACCATAGTGTCATCAAAGGCTTCGGCTGTCGCTGCAGCACGCCGAGCTGGAAGGGATGCTGGGGAAAAGAAGAGGTCTGTGAGTGGTGTAGACAGTCTTCTGCTGGCAGGTGTTGAGATCCCTGAGCCTGTCTTCTTCTGTACCATTGAACCTCCTTCAATGGCCAGACAGCAAGGTACATTGTAGCCACCTAGCTGGATGAGTGAGTTGCACAAACGTAATGGCCAGTGATCTAGTGGTTCTTTCTGGTGTTTTTTATACTGATGGTATACTTCAGATCATGATTGTCCATATCCTTGACTATTACAGTGTCAAGCAGTAGTGGTATGACTTTCCTAGTTTTTGTGTCTAGAAAAGTAGTAGTTCTTCATTTACAAGTAGAGGGATGAAGGCACCCATTCTGAACTGCAATTACAGTGGTGGGCTGTACATAGTGGCCTGAATGCCAATAACCTTGAAATGTGGCTTTTTCTTTTTCTTTTTTTTTTTTTTTTTTTCAGTTGGCACTCACAGTTTTACTCTATGAAGTCTTTATATACCAAGACTTCTCTATGTCTAGTTAGGGTTCATTCTTACAATCCTGTAATCTTACTGTCTTTCCAAACAGTACCCTTACCAGACAGCTTGGTAATTCAACTCTTTTTGGAAATACTCTTTAAATTCTCTATCTTTGTTCTAACAAAGCTTGAGCTTGTTTGGGGATGAAGAGGAGGAGGGATAAGTACCAATGTACTGTGACAGAATGGAGTAAGGTAGAAAATGTGTCTGCAGGCTGAACCACTGGGTTATAAGGTGTTACTGATTTTGTGGTGCTTGGATGTTATCGTTTGCTTTTGTTCGTTTGCTTTTGTTGCTTTTTTTCTCCCACAAAGACTGTAAAGTATGATTAATGCAGTCTCAGCTCTTGGTTCATCATTCTGCTGCTTTCCTCAGCAGTTAAGATAATGGAGAACCAGAAAAAAAACCAAAACCCTGTATAAAAAACCGTGCACATTTTCATTTGGACCATTTCATGTCAAACTCATCTTGAAATATTTAAGTAAATCAGTTGATATTTTCCTTATCAGTTATTCACTGACTTCATGAATTATTTGTAGGTTTGTCTTTCTTCATAGAAGCACACAATATCTGAAAATAGTATGTATCATAATTAAATTAGTTAACTGTAGCACAGTTAATTTTTGGGATAAAATCAGAAGTTGCTGGTTACTTGTAATTTGAGCTGACTTTGCCAAAATTTATGCTCTTCTAGGATCTTTTTGATTGTTTTTAGGAAAGTGATATTTAGGCACTTACTCTGATCTTCAAATTATTAAATAAACTTCAGATACTATGTTTTATATTTCTGTACAGACTTGGATAATGCATTGAGTTGCCTTCAGCGTGAAGATCCAAGTTTAAAAGTGAAGCCAGATCCTGACACAGGACAAGTAAGATGAATCTTGTATTTCTTGTCTATAACTATTATTTTAGAACATCATGACTGCACTTTAGTTAGTTCATCTGCATATTGAGATTTTCTTTAATAAAAAGGACTCTCTGAATGTTCCTATGATACATGTACAAGGTTCTGTGTATGAAACTAAAATGGAGTCTTGCGCACTTGTGCTTTACAGAACGGAGGACGTCACCCCATGCTCTGCATGTTTTTGACAATTCTGTATTTAAAAAGGTTTGAATTACTTAGTTTTTAAGGTTAGGTAAGATTATCTTTTTTATGGTAAGCATAGCACTGGTAACAACTCTCTCACTTAAATGGTGCTTATGTCAGATGTCTTAAAGCAGTGTATTTCTGTAGAGTCCTTAGAATTTGAAGTATTATGTTAGAATTAGAAGCATTTGTTCTTACAAATTAAAAGCATGCAAGTCCTTGCCTAAAGAATTTGTATTAAAACCTGAGTTTTGCATGTTTTTCCACTTCCCTCTTAATTATCTTCTCACCAGACTATCCTCTGTGGCATGGGAGAACTACACATAGAAATCATTCATGACCGAATCAAACGTGAATATGGAATTGAGACTTATTTGGGACCTCTTCAAATAGCATACCGAGAAACCATCTTAAATGCAGCCCAAGCTATAGGTAAAATGAGTGAAAGGAAGGAACATCTTATTTTCAAGCTACAAGCTTTAGTAGCTTGATTTACTTTAAGCAATACATGAGTAACTTTCAGATGATTTTTATGTATTATTTTTTCCCTCCCCCCACAGATATATTGGACAAAACAGTAGGTGATAAACGACACTGTGTAACTGCAGAGGTAGAGGTGAGGCCCAGGTCAGGAGAAGGAGCAACAACAAAACCCATCATCAGCTATGCTGAGAATGTCAGTGAAGTACTGCCGAAAGAACTCCAAGGAGCTGTAGAAAATGGAATCACAAATTCATGCATTCAAGGTAAAGGAAATGCTCTGTCAGCTATACTGGTACAATATTTTTGTAAGAGGCAATTTTCTAGAAGGAAAAGCTGCTTGGTAGCTTGAAAACTAAAAGATAGTACATACACATGTGACTAACATATATGTAAGGTGCAGCATGTCTTCAAATACAAAAATTGCCAAACACCTTTTTCTCTATGCCAGGAATAGAAGTCAGTGTGTCTTTGGTTTGCTTTTAAGGTTGATGTCTTCTCAGTCACTCAACAGTGAGCTTGGAGTTCTTTTGGTTTATTTTTTAATCTGGTATAAGGGATAAGGCATTTACTTTATGACATCATGTAAACCATAGTGATATAACAAAAATGGTTGCACGGTTACACTTCTATTACTGTTGCTAATGAATTTTTTTATTTTCAAGTATGTTAAATCCATGAGTTTTCAGTAAAAAGCTTTACCTAATTGCAAAGTGCATGTTTGCTAAAGGACTAAAAGTATCCTTGACTTTTGATTAAAAACAAGAAGTCTTAAGTAACTTGTGGGCAGAAAAGTGCCTTACAGTAAAATCAATAGGTAGTGGATTAACAAAGGAGAATTTCCCTTTCAGAACCAGCATGAAGTGATTTTTCAAAGTAGTTTTGTGGAATTTGAAAGCATCTCCCATCTTTGGCTGTGGAATCTCTTAGCCATGTGCTTTCTTTATGCTTCTTGAAGAAACATCAGAACTGTGCTGTCTCTAGCCTAAAATTGATGCCATTAAGTGCCTTAAAAAAATAAACGTGTTCTCTGTTAAAAAAAAGTTATGTTTTTTTCCTCAGATGTGGTTCAGGCCTCACATTTAGTCTAACACAGTTTGGTCTGTTTGAGAGTCCTGTGTTGGAGGGAGATAATCTGCCTAGGACACTAATTTATCCTTTATGAAAGTGAGTTAGCCTTGGAGTTTTGGTTATGTGTTAGCATCAGGCATTGCTGTGATTATATTGTGGTCAGAAGGAAAATACAGAAAATATTCTGGCTTCTGGTTAAACGAAAGTTTTCCCTACTTTTTCAAATGATGTCTTGTTCAAGAGACTGGTTTTAGATAATAAAATGTACCTAAAAATAACTTTTTGGTAATGGCTGTCTGGATGAGTACATTCAGGAGCTTCAGGTTCTGAAAATGATCTGTGCTTTAGATAAAGAGAGTGAGAAAGTATGTGTCTGCATTCCTTTGTCACTTTTGGCAAAGTTAGATAATGACAAAACCTCAAAATGAGGAAAAGTAGCCAGATGGGGGAAGGACAGGGAAGGAAAGAGCAAAGTGAGAAACTTCAAGTTAATTCTGAAAAATTTTTGCATGCGTCTTAGTATTCTGAAAAAAAGATATTTGTTTTGTTTTTATTTCAATTTTTATCTCTTCTCTATGGCGCTGCCCAGGACCTCTGTTGGGATTCCCAGTTCAAGATATAGATGTGACTGTGCAATCATTGACAGTGCACCCGGACACCTCGCACACAATGGTATCAGCCTGTGTCTCCCGTTGCATGCAAAAGGTACAGTAAAACTGTAAGCTGCTGTTAACATGGTAGCATGATAGACTGTTGGGAAAACATATGTGTATCAATATCTGGACATTGTTCCTCTTTGTATGCCCTTGAAATGCCTTTGCTGTGAAATTTATAGCTTTTGCAAGTGGAGAGTTTAAGTGTGCTTCAGTGATTTAAGTACTTACGTCAATTTAGAAAGACCCCATAAGAGTACATCAGCATAACTTCCTTCCTTTCCATGTAGGCTTTGAAAAAAGCTGGTATACAAATACTGGAGCCCCTGATGAACCTAGAAATCACAGTAAGTGAAGATCATCTCAGTGCAGCACTTGCTGATCTTGCACAGAGGAGAGGTAATATTCAGGAAATCCAGTCCCGTCAAGATAACAGAGTTGTGGTCGCTGCTGTTCCACTAGCAGAAATGATGGTATGTGATTACCTTACCAATGGTAAAATTCATCTTTTTTATATTCTTTAAAATATTTGGCTTCATTTAACTTTTCCTTTTGCCATGGATAAGTAAATTTAGAATGGATTTTTAAAATTGCATTTTAATTATTGAAGGTTGGAAGTGCCCGCAAATTGAGTAGCTTTTTTATGCCCAATTCAGATTATTAAACCAGCATGTGTTCAGCTGTTAAGTTAGATAAGTAGTAAATACTACTAAAATGCTACTAAAATAGATTTTATGGAGAACAAAAAAAGTTTTACAATAGGTTTTACAGGGAATAAAAAAAGATTTTATTGACTCATGCATGTATTGCAATTCTAATACAGTAATATTGGAAAGTTAACTTACTAGTATACTAGTGTAGTATATATAGTATAGTATAGTTGCTATACACTAGTGTATTTCTGACACTCCTTTTCTCTCTCTCTGTGGTCTAAGCAGCTTCTATGCTAACTTATTTTCCCGTTATCCTAACTTGAGTGATGTGTGTTCTCCATTTTTTTCAGGGCTACTCAACAGTTTTGCGTTCTCTAACATCAGGCTCAGCAACCTTCACATTGGAGCTTGCCAGTTATAAAGCTCTAAGCAGTCAAGAGCAAAGTGCACTTCTTCAGAGGAGGATGGGAACTCTCTAGGGACAATGTTTTCTATCCTCCTGTTAAATATTTTCGTATGTACGCCAGTGTGTTCATCTGGCACCAACTGGTGATGGCAAATAATGAGTTAGCAGCTGTACGAACAGACTGCTTTTAACTGTCCAGGGAAGAAGCTTCAAGAGACTCAGCTCTGCTGGCATAACCTTGTGATTGCAAAGCAGGGATGCAACCACAAGTTGTCGCGTTGCAAATTCTTATCTTGCGGGCATCTGAAATGAGAAGTGATGCAAATCGTTTTCATAGAAATGAGCATTAAGTCCATCTTAATGTGTCACTGGGACTGTTCTCCTAATCTAGTAAATAAAATTTGTGAAATTTCTATCTATCACTGAAATAACTTTACAGTTTCGGCATTCTGTATCTTGATTTGTTTTCAGCTGTATGAAAGGACATGGTTAATAAGCACTACACTGTACAAATTACTCGTGTTAGTTCTACTGGTAAAAACCAGGTATAAACCAGAGTTCAGGACTGGGTGTAATTTCTACCTGAGTTTAGCAAGTGAAACAGATACTTCTGCAAATCAAGTAAGAGCTGTGCAAAAAAGAAAAATACAAGAAAGGTGGTTTTTCCATGACAGTAATTCTTACCTGCCACCCTGCACTAGGTTGAGAAAGGGTTAGTTTGTTTGTTTACCTTTAGAAATTAGTGAATTAATCTGTAACGGTTCTGATTTGCTATGGGTTGCAATTATGTGGTGTCCTAAAAAAGTGGCAAGTGATACCTTGAAATAAAAAAGATAGTTTGCTTCTAATTTAAATAGTATCTTAGCTATATTCTTCAACCTCAGTGAAAGAAAATTAGTGACTGGAATTAGTAACTCTATGGTATCAAGTTGCATGACTTCACAGTGAAGAATCCCTATTTCTGAAAGGTTAAAAACAATCATTTTTACTCCAACAAGGCTGTCAAATAATTTTATTTTATTTTCAAAGTGAAAATTTTAAGTCTTGATTCAGATACAAAACCACATGTACATATTCATACCCCAGAGGCACTTCAGGCTGTTCACAAGAAGTCTTTGCAGCAGTTATGGCCCTCTTGCTTCATGGGCGCAGTATCCAACAAATACTGGCTCAGCTGCTATGCCACGGCTGTTAAAATAAAGCGGAATGGGTATGACTGTAATCAAACAACTGGCTGCTTGTGCAGGCAGGAAGACAGATACTGGCAATCTATTTTAATAACTATATAAACAAAACTACTCCCAAGAAACAACAGCCAGCCTATTTAGGGAGTGAAAAAGGCCCTATTTTACTTTTGATTGTACTTTAGATTGAAACTCTGTTTCAATCAGAGGCACCAAGCTATTAGCAGACACCTTGTAAAGCTTAAAGCTTTTTGATGTTCCGCAAAATCTATTGCTTTTATTAAAAAGAAGTCATAAGAAAGGCAAATATAAATCAACTGACATTTACACATTCTCCAACATCAGTGTTTCCTTCATATGCAGCTCTAGTTCCATAATTTTCATTATTTCAGGGGGAGGAGTCAGAGTTTCTTTCAGCTGATACTATCACAAATTATTCTGTTCTCATGTGGCATTAAAAACTGTGGCTTATGATGGTGCAGTAAGACAGCATGAAAACATGTTTCAGAGTTAAAGTAGTTGTAAACAACATTCTATTTCTCAAACATTTTAAGACATAGATACTCCCACTACTAATGTTTAAAAATGGTTCAGTGAAAGAAAGAAAGGAATAATAGTTTGCTGAATGATTGCTGCTGCTAAGCAAGACATACTCTTAGTAAAGACAAGGTTTGGTGTCTAGGTCTCTGGAATATATTCTTGTTTCATTTCTCCCATCACTATTTCTCTGCAATCTGGTCTGCTGTATCATAGAAGGAGCTGAGTTCAGTACCTACTGCATTCACAGTACTATTTCAAGAGCAGTGGCCTCACTCTTCAAAAGGCAGTTACTGTTCTTCCAGTGACTAAGCATATAGCTGTTAAACATGCTTCCTATCCATTTTCCTTGCTCCCTGGTAACCTGCAGCAGAACAAGCCAGAGCTGTCATTTCTCTTGGAAAAGCCCCTTGCCCTGCTACAACTGCCACAATCTGTGCATATGTGATGAGTAAAATAATTAGTAGGAACATAGTCCTTGCATATATGCTAAGACTACAGCAGCCTGATACCAAGTCAGCTCTTTGAGGAAGCCCCGTATACATGAAATGTGACAAAAGCAGCTCCATGTAATGTTCATTTCATCACTGGAAAGGGAATGGTTTCTCTAGTGTTTTCCTGGTTCAAAGCCTGTCTAAAAAGAATCATTTTCAGGACAACATACCTTTTTTATTAAGGTAGTTACTTTCTAACAGGAATTGTTCATCCTATGCCAGCAAAGCAGTTTTTCCTTAGACTATCTGCTGTTAAATATGTACAACAAGTACAGGGAGTAGTCCTTAGTCTGCCCCTGCATTCTGCATCTCTCATGCCAGCAGTAGCAGAGCAGCTGCTGTCATCTGGACCGGTTCCCTGTACAACAATACAAGTACTAGTTAAGGAAGAAGATGCAGATGCAACAGTGAAGTCAATCCAGGTCCAGAAATAGCATAGCTTAGTTCACTGTAGAACCCTAATCCTAGTGGCACAGCCACGGTACACTTAACTGTTCAGCTGTAGCAGTGTTTTCCTGAGCTCCACAAAGAGATGCACCAACCTGCTAAGTAATAGGATGAAGTTTTAAAATCCCTTTAATCTTGCTTTTAACATGTATTTGTCGACTCTCTTAATGTATCTGTTTTTCTCATAACTGAGGGAGATATCACAATTTACATACAGCTATTTTCCTACATCATTATTTTAAATTAGTTTGAAATAACTCAGCTAAGTCAAAACTTTCAAGTCCTTCAGTCACTCTTGATTAAAGAGTGACAGTAAGCTAAACATATACTATATACTCTAAAGTGACTCCAATGGATAATCATGCTAAGACATCTTCATGTCTCAGGCACATGAGGAAAGAGCTCGAGTTTCAAGTGCTGACTGTAACTGCTACTGTATCTACCTTGAACTACTACCACACAGAGTTGAGTTTTCAATGAGTTGTCATAAACTTATGTAGAGAAACAATATCACATGTTTCATATATGATATGTTTCACTGCTTGCTGCAGTTCAACTATCCAGCTCTCTTGACTGTATACTTCAAAACGAGTCAAACTTGGACTTAAAACCTAGAAGTCACTCATATCTCTGAATGTAAATCTGTGAATGTAAAAAAAAAAAACCATTAGCAATAACCAGTAACTTGTCTAGGTACATTTTAGGAAAGAACTGGGAGAAGAATGTGTTATTACTACTGTAAACAAAGTCACTTTATAAATGAATTAAATTTGTCATGGACTGCTTATCCACCCCTCTCAGCCTCTAAAGTAAGGCAATACCTGAAAGAATAGCTTGCCCAAGTTCAACTCTCATGCAAACAGCTCCAGTAGATTACCTGCTGCAGTTCCTTAATTATAATTCATAATAAACAATAACACCACCTTTTTTTTTTTTAGAAGTCTGCTTTTCCTTCTGTCAATGCATTCTTCCCACTTACCCTTTAATATAATTTTTGTCTGCAATAAGTCAATCACGGTGTTTTTCCTTTACAGGAAAGAAAATCACAGATGAGTCCTAGTGTTTCACTGACAAGGAGTTCTGACCATTTTAGTTGCAAAACTGTCCAGAGCTCCTGTCTTAATGTATCTGTCTTCCTCTTCAGTGGCTACAAAACCAAATGGGCTTGCATTTACTGTCAGGTTAAACTGCTAGCTCTTTTCCCTTCATCTCCAGACCAGAAGTTCGTGCCTGTACCTTTATTCCATTGGTTATAAAACCTGAGAACCAAGATACACTGTAGCTACTAAATCTTACCGGAGCATGCGGCATCGATGATTAGTTAGCCTTTTGTAGGCATCCTGCAAGTTGGTCACATTACTGCTGCTCCAGAGTCTTTCCCCAACAGCACTTGCTCGAGGCCTGTAAAGGTATTCTTAGTTTTAGAGTATGTATGGTCTATAACCCAGAATGGATAATTATTTTTTTTAATAACAGGTCTAATATAATACTTTAATACCCAGAGGCATTAATTTGCATAGCTGCTTAGGTTCACCACAGAGCACTATTACCACCAGCATACAGTCCTGTGGGATTAATTAATGCTTCTTGTAGCTGTCTTTTTAAAATCTAATGATGAAGCAGTCCATACCATAATCTTGGTGTCAGGTTAGTTGCATCCACAAATTCCCCCCATAGGCAGGCTTCTCCACCTATTAAAAGTTTCTTCTGTTTTTCAGATCCTGAATTCAAAGCAGAAAGTCAGCATTTCTCTCCGTCCAGATGATGGACATATATCAACAGATATATAGATATATATATATATATATCTAATATAGATGTATCTATAGAATATAGATATATTTATATTCAGTTGTTTTCATATAAAGTACCTATCCTGAGCAGTAACTTAAGTCTTGTTACTGAATGTGAGAACCACCAAGCATTTGCCCAGAGGAGACATTTCTCTGCTCTGTCAGAAAGATTTACCTTTCATGCTTTGAAGAGATTCCTCTGTTTTTTGACATTTCTCAGGGATTTAAATCCTAATAAAAACTGTTCATTCTATCACATGCAGAACATCCTTGAAAAAATTACTTAGTTGGGTATACTTAATGAGCTCTGAGAGCTTCCTTTCACAAAATGAAAGCCCCAAGCAAGTGTAAAAGACGTTTGTATCAACTTTAGATACGGGGAGATAACATGCCTTTTTCTCCACCAGTTTAACACTCATGAAGCTTGGGAATATAAATTCAGTGTCTGTCTACAAACAGCCATTTTGCACAACCCTGCTCCTAAAGCATCTGCACGCCTAGTCTGGCATTCTATCTTATGCAAATACCAGTATCAGACGCTTGAGGAAGGTAACACCTTTCCCTGTGTGAAGTGAAAGGCCCTTTTTTTTTTTAAGTTTTCCAGAATTGTAGCTGACCATAATTCTTCTGATGATACTATAATCACAGTGATGGAGTGGCCACTCTGAACAGCCGTATTTTTTCCATTTACACTGGACAATAAACCAAGGAGTGTCATGCACAGAACATGCATATAAAAAGAAGTAACAAACCAGGGAAGTTAAGTGGTTCAACACTGTAGTATTTCTTCCAGTCTTGCCCATAACTAATGTAGTCTAAGTACCAGGGTGCTGACAGGACAGCAGTGAACCCAGCTCCAGTGACACTGCTCAGTTCATGAGCATAGTTATTTGCCTTCCACACTTGAACTACAGTGTCTGGTTTCAGCTAGAAGAGAAAGAAGACAAAATAAACAAACTAACCAGCTTAACCCACA